TAAATAAATAAATAAATAAATAAATAAATAAATAGTCTCACATTCCCTCACAGGAATTGCAGAAGATAGGCTTTTGCAGACACTTATCCCATGTTCCTAGTCTTCCTGAGACTGCTTGACATTCTATAACATGGTAAGTAAATGCTTGGGAAAAGACTTTAGGCTATGAACTGTATGCTATTATTATCAGGAATTAAGGGATTGCTTTCCCCAAAGTGTAAGAATGCAAAGAGAGAGGAGAATAGGAAGTTTGAGGTCAGCTGTGCTCATAATGAGACCTTATCATATGAACAACAACTACTGCCCACTCTAGGAACATAGGACACATATACTTTGAGACATGGTCAGAAGAATACCTCTAATTAGAGAAAAAGTTATTCATAATTGTCTAGTGTTCTAAGTGATGAACATGTGTTCTTCTCTGTAGACCAGAGAGTAAGTGGAGCCCCAGAAGAAGGATGAGCAGTCACAACTGCATAAAACTGCTAGAATCTAAGGAATACCAGTGGAAAGCTTGCTTAAAGCTTTATTCATTATCCTGATATTGGCAGACAACTGCAATTATAATATTGCCAAGCCTGTGAATTGTCTAGCCCTCTTATTGTGGTATACAAAACACCAATGTCACACACAAACTTTGAAATATAATCAAGGTTCTGCTGGAGAGGTAATAGATCTTAGAGAAAACCCCAAGGCTGTCAAACCCCTAGACAAATGTAATTTCTTACTATGCACAAAATATGAATTCTTATATTTACAGACAACTATCTCAGTCACCACTAACCAAAGAAGCTTCTTTTGCAACAGACAGAGACTATTACAGAGTTTTACAACAGAGTTTTACAATTCATTGTCTGTGAATTGCCCAAGCATAAGTAGCACATCTACAAAGAAATCTAAGATTCACAGAACATAGAACAAGAGGTAAAGAGAACACTAATGAATCTCTCAATTCTCATCAATGAAGTTCCCTCATGTAACAGATGGCCAGGAATACAAAAGGTCACAAATAGTTAAAGCATAGAGAGTAAGAGCCTGCAGAGTGTGGGTACTTGGACAGGACTCTTATATTAACCTCACTCACCCAGGGCTCAGGGACCATTGTGAAAGAGGGGGTGGAAAGATTGCTAGATCCATGGAGGAGGTGCATTACTATATGGAAACAGAGTCCTCCAGGCTCCTGGAACCTTGCTCATAGAATGAACAGCAATGGTCTCAGCATACACAAGAACTATGCAAACTAAAACAAGCAAAATCCCAGCACAAAACTGAAAATAGGCAGTAGGCCCCAATCTTAGTTGAAGAATTATTGGCAGTTGGTTACTTTTGTCTGAGGAAGACTTAATCTTCTTAAAGGGAGGGGCTCTAGATGGGCTGACTAGACCTCAGTGGATGGACTTGCACTGTGGGACATCTGGGGACACTAATTTGACACTATAGGCCTTAACACAAATGTTATAAAGCATGAATTTCTGGGGGAGGTATGGGAGGGTGCCAATGGGGAAGGGGTATAAAGATGATAAAGATTAAGATGTTCTGTATGGAACTCCCCAAACCTCGTTCACCCTCCCAGCTCCCCCACCCTGTATCTCCTTCTAGTGTGGGCACTGGCCCATTTCTTCTCTTGGCACCCCAGACCTCTGGACTACCCTCTTGGCCCAGACTCCCCACTGTTTCCTGATCCTTTGCACCAAGACCATCCCAGTTCCTCAGTCTAGTACCCTAGAGTCCCCAAAGCCTGTCCCCTCTCACACCTTTCATTTGCATACCTGAGACCAGTTTTCATTCCTGGCTGTCCTAACCCTCAACCTTCCTTAGGCCAGCATTTTTCCTGGGTAAGTTTGACTCCACCCACTGTGCTTTGACTCCCACAACCTCATTAAGCCTCCCAGCACCCATCCCATCTTGCCTCCTAGCATGGGCACTGGCCTACTTTTTCTCTTGGCAACCCAGACCTCTGGACTACACTCCTGTCCCAGACTCCCCACTGCTTCTGGATCCCATACACCCAGACCAACCCAATTCCTCAGTCTAGTCTCCTGGAGCCCTCAAAACCTGTCCCTTTCTCCAATTTGCCTTTGCACACCTGAGGTCAGCTTTCATCCCTGGCTGTCCTACCCCCAACATGGATTCCTGAGACCAGCCTTCTTCCCTGTGTGCCCTGGATTCCTTCCCTGACTACCAGAGAGTCCTGAATCCTACCTCTACCTAGGAATCCTCCCAAAATGTACTGTGCCTGCTGACTACAAGGACAACCATACCATAGATCCTTACCATAGATCCCTAAATTCTCTCCCAGGCATTCCCCTCACCAGAAAATTCCCAGCCTTGGTATCAAGCCAGCAGACCTGCTCAGCTAGGACTCAGAACCAAAAGTAAATTAAACAAAAGCAGAGTAGAAGTTTCTGTGCAACACATAACTGACAAAGAACATCCATATGCATAGACGGCAAGGCAAAAACACAAATAATATTAAAAACCAGGAAAATATGTTCCCAACAAAACACATAAGTTCTACAGAAGTGCACAGCATTGAGTACCACCCTGTAGAACTCGAGGACACAGAATTTAAAAGAATAATCATAAACATGATCACAGAACTTCAAGAAAACACAACTCAAAGAACTCAAAGAGGAAAGGCATAAACTTTTGACAGAAGCCAAAAAATATACAAATATGCAGCTCAATGAAGTATCAAAAACAATTCACAACTTGAAAAGCAAATTCACTAAAGAGATAGAAATAGTGAAGAAAATCCAAATGGAAATGAGCATGGGACTAAAAGACTCAATAAACCAAGTAGAAACAACAGGAGAAAGACTCACAAGCAGAGTGAATGAAATGGAAAAGAGTATAAAGACTGCTGCATAAAGTTGAAGTCCTGGACTTCTTAAGCAAAGACTATGCAAAATTCATAAAAACACAGGAATGAAACACTCAGGAAATGTGGGACAGCATGAAATGACCAAATATCCAAATATATGTATTATAGGCATACAGGAAGGAAGAAAATCAAACCAAAGTCATCGAATAGATCTTCAATAGGATTTTAGAAGAAAACTTCCGTAAATTAAGGAAAGACATACCTATAGAGATTCAAGAAGCACAGAGAACACCATTAAGACATGATCAGAACAGAGAGTACCCAGAACATATCATTGTAAAAACATTAAAAGTAAGAACAAAGAGAGGGTACTGAAAGCTGCTAGAGAATAACAAGTTACATATAGAGGAAAATCCATCAGAATAACAGCTGAGTTTTCGATGCAAACTATGAAAGCCAAAAGAGCCTGGAACAAAGTATTTCCCATTCTAAACAGCCATGGATGCCAAGCCCCAATACTTTATCCAGCAAAACTATTTATCAAAGTTGAAGGGGAACAGAAAAATTTCCATGACACAAATAGGCTGAAAGCATTCATGTCTTCCAAAGCATCACTACAGAGAATAG